CTTCAAGATTAGAAAGTACCAAATTTTAATATTTAAAATATCTTATATGTATGATATTGGTGTCAGTTAATGCCTTTTTAAGTGTCATTTAGAACCTATCACTTAGCTCCAATAATGGACTGGGAGTTAGTAAATGCTTACCTACTATGAAGCTGCCTCTTGGGCTCATTTTCAAGGCAATTTTGAGGGAGAGACCATGGTAATCTCCCTCGAAGAGAGTGTTGTTTCCACAAAACTTCTTTATTCAGAGTCTGCAATGTGCTTCATTGTTGCTATTACTGGATTATTTATTCCTCTTGGGTTATATACATATCAAGAGCTATATGTTATATATTATATACATTACCTTTTGCAATACTTCATTTCAAAATACTGATCAATGTGTAAGAATATTTGGACCATGTGGAAATTCAAATGTATTGCTTAAAGAAAAGTATTATTGCATTCCCACTAAACGTTCAAAAATTTAGTCAGAGGTTTCAATTTCCAGAACCTGACAGAATGAGAGAATATATAACTGGGAAACTCAAATAATCCTTGGATGGTTAAAAAGGCAGGAAGATAAAATGCACATCTCCAAGTTGAGTCCTTTCTGCATTGCCGCAATGAAGTATGTTAGCTGCAAAATGCAGGGGAATAGTGAGTTTTTCACAAGTTGAAGCAACCACCATACCCATTCCAAATTCTTTGTATAATTTGTTGTGACTTCATTATATTGATGTTAATATGCAAGCCCAGCCAGATTTAGACTAAAATTCTAGCTGATCTCTATTCTGCTGCCTAACCCGAAAGGAGCTTAACAAACAAAACAATCTGACCAAGAATCAATTCAACACTGTGACTTCCATGTCATTGGTCCCAAGTGTACTCCTCAGTCATCTTCCAAAGGTAGATAGAAAGAGATAAGAAGCATTTTTGATTGATCAGAGCATATAGAACAAATAATGTACTTACATTTCTATATAGTTGGGGGAATCAAGATCTTAAGTAAAATATACAGGATCTATAGTCACAAATAAAGCCTGCCATTTCAATTATGCCAAGAGCATCCTAAAAGCAATAACGCAGAAAGAATGATAGCATTAAGGAGCAATGCAAACATACTTTAGGATCTAAGTATTTTAAAGGGACTGGGAGTCATTAGAGAAAACTAGTATGGAAATTTTTTTCCCTGTGTCTTTGTTACTTTGGAGACAATGAATACTAAGCATCTTTTTCTAGGATGGATGGTAGTCCCTAATCAGATAGTAAAATCACTTATCTGTCCGCTCAGAGATGCTAAGTTGTTTTGAAAAAAGACAGTTAAATTTTTTTTCTTAAGTAACTTCAGTATGGGTTTATTTACCTGGTTTCCATGTGGATTTCTGAGTCAGCCCCATGGAACCTGTTCTTTGACCAATATAAAATAATCTGCCTGGGGAAGGGGCTATGTGGGCAGGTTCACCAGCAGGATGGGCCTCTGCAGTTTGGGACAGGCCTTCCTGCCCACCAGGCTCTTCCATGAGGGGAGAGGATGCCCTCTGGATTTTCATGTATCTAGATTTTACCAACCCTGATCAATTCTGGTGTGCCAGTTCATAATTTGTGAAATCCCAAAGGCTTAAAGTTTCTTAGATGTAGTTCAAAAAGTTAATAAAAATTATTATTTCATGAATTTTTTTATTGGGAGAACATGGAAAGGGTGTGGATTCCTCCCAGCCAACTCTCATGTCTTCTTTGAAATAAGATATTTCCTAGACTAACTTTAGCACATCCACAATATCTTTGCAGAGGTTATAAGATTAACAACAGTGAAAAACTGCAAAAATATTTCTAAAGTGACCCCAAAAATGGATCTAAAAGAAAGAGCTTATGGCTCTCATATGAAAATTCCCTTTTTCACTCCCATTGAAGTCCCATGTCAATTCTTCAGTAATACTGGGTATCACCACTGACAGCACAATGAACACCAGTCCCCCGATCACACATAAATTCTGCAGGCTCCTACTCCCTCGTGCTTGAACACAAACAAACGAGGCAATGGTGTACAAATGCCAAACGCCACTGAACTGATACCCAGCGGCACATTGAAAGGAATTACTGCAGCTAAATAGCACTTATCTGGTATTTAATCTCCAGAATACTTGCATTTCTGGGATGGCTCCACAATAAAACTTATCCAGGAAAAAAACCCCATCATTTTATTAGAACTCAGTGTCACCAAGTACATCTGGGAAGAGTGGCCACAGGTAGCGCCTGATGAACTGTGGTGATTGTCTGGATCGATGACAGGGAAGGGCAGTGCTGTTTAATTGCCCAGCTACATGTTTATAAGCTCAGTGTCTCCATACTAGTGCTGACTGGCCTTGGGAGGGGACAGCAGACAAGAACACTGCAGACAGAGATGGAGAGGGAATACAGTGCTGGATAGGAGAGAGGAGATGAAAAGTGGTGTGAGTGGCAGCAATGGCCAGCAGAGATTACAAGCAGTAACAGGGAGGGTGATCCAGGCCTTGGAGAGAAGGAAGGAGGCAGCCAAAAGACGTGTACTTGAGACAGAGAAAAGGCGAACTGACCAAGGGAAACCCAGACACCACTGGGACGTGCCAAGCAGGGGACCTGCGATGGTGGAAAGAGGAGTCATTCAATCAAATTCTTAACAAACACCTACATTTCTAGGGACCAGGAATGCAAAACTGAATAATTCATGCCAGTGCTCCAAGATGCTGTAAACCAAGTCATTACCTCCTAAGGACCACATCTTCCATATCCACATCTAGATCACTCAACGTTCAATCAGCAGTGCCAGACAAGGTACAGTTTGGAAAGCTCTCCAAGGAAAAAACAAAAAGCAGCTGGTCTATAAACCATAAGAACAGAATGATTCCTTCTCCACGGGCGCTGGCTGGCTCTGTTCTTACTCTGCCAGCTAATAATAAAAGCATGCAAACTTCCAGGAATGAGGATCAAGCTGAATATTCTTGTTTAGGGAGCTAGGAAATAATGGGATATAGAACCTTAACAAATGTGAAAGGTGAAACCAAAAATAAAAACTAACATACAAAAGCCTATGTTGAAGTAGAGAACTTGGTCCCTTATTAATCAGACTGATGTCCACCATGGGATGCCAGGAACAGAGTTAAATCCTTGCAGTTTTAACTTCTGCATCTGATTTTTAATTTTTTAGTTACATTGCATCTGTATCAGGGTTAGTATCAGTAGACACCAGACACACAGATGTCTGATTGCAAGATTCTGGGTAAATCATTCCCACTTTAACATCAAACTGATGAAGCATTTATTTAAAAACATTTGTGGAGTTATAACTGCAAAGGTAGAACTCACGGTTTTTTACATATTACAACCACATGTTAAGACAATAGACTTCAATAAAAAATCACCTTCAAACCCATTTTGTATGTGGGGGATTTGCTTTATCCCCTAACACTCCAGGTTTGAGGAACAATCGAGCACACGTTCCTTTACAAAACTTCATTTTCTGTTGAACCCTGCTTTGACCCTAAGTTTAACATCATTCCAAATTCAGTCTATTTTGCTCACACAAGATATTGCAGCCAAGCAAAACTCTGTCCCAGAAACCTCATAAATTGTATGAGCTGCTCAATTTAGGCCTAAGGGAGTAAACTGAAGAGAGCTTAGCCTGTCATACTGTTTTAGACTGCCTCAGAAATTCAGCATTAGTTCTAGATTGATTGAACTAGTTATGGTGGTGACCATGTATGTACAGATACACATATGTATGCACACACACACACACACATATCTCATTATTTTAGTATATTTTTTTTTACCAAGTAGTGACTTGACCTTAGTTCTTAATGCCCTGCTTTATTTAATATACTTAGGTGTTGGGTGGAAGGACACTGAGTGAGCACACCCACTTATTTTATAATTCATTCCATTCCACCACTATTCACCAAATGCCTGCTGTGTGCTAGGTCCTAGGGACTCAGTATTGAACAGACGGAGGTAGACCCTCTTCTTATGAAGTTATGATTCACATGACACGAGTTACACTGTGAATTGGTCAGATAAATTCCTGACATCACCTTATGCCGACTTTGAAAGCTAATGCTTCTACTCACCAGTTTTGCAACCTTGATTCAGTGTATTCATGCCTCAGTTTCCTCATCTGTATAACGGAGGTTGCTGTGAAGAGTTAGAGCAGAGAGCACATGTAAAAGGCCTAGCACCGTGCCTGGTGCACAGCTGGAGGGTGTCCCCTGCCTTCCTCACCATAGTCCCCCGTGGGCTTTGGAGATGATTTTGTAGATTTCAGTACCTGTTCTAGCCCTTGTAATAGTTAAGGCCACCAGGAGGCAGTAAAAAATGGGCCCCCTGAATCCTAAGGAGAGAAGTGCACTACTGTCCTTGACACATGGCTGACAACAAATTTCACTTTTGTGTTGGTTCATAAATGAACAAATGAAGAAACAAACAGGTTAAACAGTCATTTAAAGAAACTGTAACCAAAGCAAAAGTAAAAATGATCGTATTCAGTTATTTGACAAATATATGCTGATGTCCTATTCTGTGCCAGTCTCTGAAAATAAAAATAGTACCTGCCGTACTGCAGTGTGAAGGTTGGAAGAGTTACAATAGCACTGACAAGCAGTAAACACTTAGGAGCTATTTGCAGTTATGATTTGGGGGAGGAAATGTTTCAGGAGTGGCCAAGAGAGAAAAAGTGGTACTATTTAACAGCTACAGAAATCTTTCTAAGAATATTTGACTTTTCCTGCCAATCTCTTACGTAGAGGAACCAAAGGTTTTCTGATCTAATATTTCTGATCATTTTTTCAATCACATAGGCCAATTGAAATAAAAGATAAAATAGCATGGAATCTAAATATGCCACATCCTAAAATTCTGAAAGGACTCATTGGAATGATTAAGAGAAATGTTATGCCTTATCAAAGTCTACCTTATTGCATTGAAAATAACTCTAAAATGTTCTATTGGTTTTTAAATGAGAAAAATGTCAATTACAAATAGAAGTGTTAGAATGAACTGTTACCGATCTTAAACGTTTTCTTCTGGTTCTTTAACTTAAAGTATGCAAATTGTAAGGGCATGATTCTATCCATGTTCATGTAGAAGGGGGCTGTAAAAATCTGGAGTGGTAAATAAGGATGAGCATATATAAAATCCAAAGCCACTATGATCCAATGTCTTTGGTGTATGAAGGTGATAAAGCCATTTACGCAATTAAATACATTAACAAGATATTTTACAAGCTCACAAATCTTCCACTTTATTTTTTTTCCATTTGAATATGGTTGCAGAGATGTTTGCCTGTAGCCACTGACTATTTTTAATGATTACTCCCAGTTATGGACTATCTGTCAGCATCTGTGGCTTGTTCTTCAGCATTAGTATAAAAAAGAATAAGATATCCCCTAATGGCAGCATATCATGTTCAGCTACCTTGAGGCAAGAAAACATTAAAACTGGATGAAGACAAGAAATTAAAACTGGATGTAGGTTATTTTTTAAAAGAACATCTGAAAACAAATATCTGAAAACAGACTGGCCTCTTTTCTAGTCTAAACAAGTTGCAACATTAAGCAGGTTGTCAGACAAAGTACAAGATTTTTCATGTAATATTTGAGGTATATTTAAAAAGTTAATCGTTGTTTATCTGAAAGTCACATTTACCTGAGGGTCTATATTTTCATTTGCCAAATCTGGGACACCTGTACATGAAGCCCTCCATGCATACATAACACAAAACTTTCACTCTTTAAAGATTAATCCTGAGAAAGGTTTACCTGAATATGCAGTTGGTTAGTCAGGTAGCAGCCTATAAAATTTGTCAGATCCCCACCTACCTGGCACAGCAGAAGGCTCATGGAGAGTGCTTTTTCCACTTTTCCACGTCTGTAGACAACATAGAACTCACTTGACAATTGACAAATAAATACTTGGAGTATAGAACTTAATGAGTCCATTCAGTACCAAGTACAAACAAAACTGATGAGGTACAGCATAAAACATCCCATTCACTCCTAGTCAAGGCATCCTTGTCAAAAATCAGTTGGTCATAAATGAATGGGTTTATTTATGGATTCTCTATCCTATTCCATTAAATCTACATCTATTGTTATGCCAGTACCACACTGTTACCACACTGCTTTGATTACTGTAGCATTGTCATAACATTTAAAACTGGGAAGTGTGAATCCTCCAACTTTGTTCTTCTTTTTCAATACTGTCTTGGCTATCCAAGTTCCCTTCCAAGTCCATATGAATTTGGGGATCATCTTTTCCATTTCTGAAAAAAAAAGGCTGTTGGAACTTTGATAGGGACTTCATTGGCTCTGTAGAGCACTTTGGATAGAATTGCCTTTTAATAATATTAGGTCTTCCAATCCATAATCATGGATTATGTATTTCCATTTATTTAAGTCTACTTTAATTTCTCTTAGCAATGTCTTACAGTGTTCAGAGTACAAGTCTTTCACCTGCTTGGTTAAATTTACTTCTAGGTATATTATGCTTTGGATGCTATTATAAATGGAATTGTTTCTTAACTTCCTTTTTGGATAGTACATTGTTGGAGTATAAGAAACACAATTGATTTTTTGTGTTCATCTTGTACCCTGCAACTTTGCTGAATTCATTTATTAGCTCAAGTAGTTTTGTTGTGTGTGTGTGTGTGTGTGTGTGTGTGTTCTTTGCAATTTTCTATATATAGGACCATGTCATCTATGAATAGAGGCAGTTTTACTTTTTCCTTTCCAATTTGGATGTCTTTTATTTCTTTTTCTTGCCTAATTCCTCTGGCTAGAACATCCAGTGCAATGTTGAATAGCGGTGGTGAAAGTAGGCACCATTTTATTGTTCCTCATCTTAGGGAGAATGCTTAGTCTTTCACCATTGAGTATGATGTTAGCTGTGGGGTTTTCATAAATGCCCTTTATCATGTTGAGGAAATTGCCTTCTATTCCTAGATTTCTGAGTGCTTTTATCATGAAAATCATGTTTGGATTTTCTCAAACATGTTTCCTGTGTCAGTTGAGATGATAGTGTGGCTTTTTCACTCTATTAATGTGGTGTATTATATTGATTGATTTTCATATGTTTACCCCTTCTTGCATTATTAGGTTAAATCCTACTTGTCTGTATGTAATCCTTTTTAATATGCTGTTGAATTCAGTTGGCTAGTTTTATTTGTGATTTGTGTATCTATATTCATAAAGGCTATCATCTGTAGTTTTGTTTGTTTGTTTGTTTGCTTGCTTGCTTATAGAGTCTTTATCTGGCCTTGGTTCTGAGGTAATACTGGCCTCATAGAATGATTTTTGGAAGTGTTCTGTCTTTTCCAATTTTTTGGAAGAGTGTAAGTATGATTGGTATTAATTCTTTTTTTAATGTTTGGTAAAACTTACCAATGAAGGTGTATCATCCTGGATTTTTCTTTGTTGGAAGATTTGATTACTGAGTCAATCTCTTGGTATAGATCTGTTCAGCTTTTTATTTCTTCTAAGTCAGTTTTGGTTATTTGTGTGTTTCTAGTAATTTGTCCATTTCATCTAGGCTATTTAATTTATTGGCCCACAATTATTCATAGCATTTTCTTTTAATCCATTTGATTTTCTAAAAGGTTGCTAGTAACAACCTGCTTTTATTTTTTATTTCAGTTGTGTTTTCTCTTTTTTCTTGGTGAGTCTAGCCAGAGTTTTGTCAATTTCATTGCTATTTCAAGGAACCAACTTTTAGTTTCTTAAATCCCTCTATTGTTTTTCTGTTCTTTAAAAGAACAAGGGATTTTTTTTAATGGTATGAAGGACATAGAGGACAAAGAAATCAATCCTAATTAAGGATTTTAGAAGAGTTTCTTTGAAGGGTTAGAATAGAATTGAGCCATTAAATTCCTAAAAAGCAAAGTTTTATTTCACAACTCTTACCCAAACTGAGAAAAAGGCCTAAAACAATTTGCCACTTTTGAATAGCTCCTGGTTTAGGAAAAGTGATGCATTTGGAGAACCATGTGTGTTTGTTTCACCTCTTATTTAGTGGCTTTTTGGTAGTGGTTAACTTCTAAAATGCAGCACTGGGAAAAATATCATGCAAGCAGATCAGCTTAACTTTCTGTTAGCTGCTTCCAACTTCCTGATCCTTGACGGCATGGAGCATAATTGTGGGTTTGGAATCTGAAATGATACAGAGGCCTATCTTATTTATCAAAGTGCTCCATACTTAGGTCCTAAAGAATGTGTTTTGAAAATGAATATGATCAAAAGAAATGGTATTCAAAAGAGAGCTTACGGGTAGATCCTAACCACATTTCAGAGAGAGGAAAAACAATTCACACAGAAGTATCTTAGAAGCTTGTCTTAGAATTTGAATGTTGAAACCTCTTTTTATTGACCATTCCTTTAACTTCTTTTAACATATATGTTAAAGAAAAGAATAGAGTCAGGAGAAAAGCAGGTTCTCTAAAAGTTTTAGATCACGTTTTGTTACTGTATTTTTCACGAAATCTACTCTCTCTGACACAAAATGCAGCAATAAGTTACTCATCACCTTAAGAGATGCTATCAATTTTATTACTATGAAAATTCAGATCTTATCTATAAAATTGCACAGAATTTTGTTTGATGCTAATAAACAAAAGCTACATTTTTCTTTTTGAAATCACATTTAGCTTTGAGATACATAAACACACACACGTGTACACATATGTCACTCTCCATTTTCAAATTCTCAGTAATCTTTTATTGCAAAAACAAAACTATTAGAAAACAGAGTCTTCAGTTTATTCTTTTGTAAACTCTCCTGATTTTTCTTTAAATAGTGCAAAAGGAGAAAGCTCACAGGTCTCACACAACCCGCACATCAAGGTCCGTCCATCAGAGCCAGTAAATGTTACTCCAATGAGACAAATACCACCCAATATGTCATTTGTAGGCTCTTACTAATATTTCAGGTGTGTAGCTCTAATACCATTCTGTTGTGCTCAGAAATAATCCAAGATATAAATTCAACTCACAGAATACACTTGTCTTTAGCTCAGTTCATCTTTCTGGCTGACTGGCACCCATCTACAAACTAAGCAGCTGCCAGCTTGGGTGGCCCAACAGATTCTGTTGTTGTTGATACTTTATATAATCTTTAAGAAAGTGGCCAGCAGTTAAAGCATAAACACGTTTCTGTACAGGTCCCTACAGCACTAATTCTGTAGGGATGTGGAGCTGTGATATCAGGGTTTTCCCAGAGAGTCTAAACAAAACCCAGTTTCGGCAGATTGCAATCATTTTACAAATGAGCAAAGCTATTCAAACATCAAAAAGGTAAGTACTACTCACTGGAAATTCTATGCTGATCTCCTCACTTGCTTGAAGAGCACACGTTAACAGCTTTCTCAGACCATACGGAAAGAATGAACTGAAGTCTGTTGAATGCAAGACACTGATTGAAAGTTAGAAGTATGTACATATCTTATAAAGAATTTCCATAGCAAAAAATATTTCACATCTTGTTCTTTACCTGAGCTGTGCTCGTCAAGTTCTTTATTGCACACCATGTCCCCTTTTCTCTCACAGAATCTGAAATTCATAAAAGGGTATAGGTTTGAGATCTGATGGTGTCTGATCACCATCTACAAATTGCCGGGTACACAGTTCTCAATTCCAGATGATGCAGGCAAGCGTGGTAAACTCTTCTACTCCAGCAATCAGTGATGCCAGGTTGAGGGCCACGGTCTCGGATAAGGGATGCATCCAGACAGGTTTCCATTTTTCTTCATTTCAAGTCACCTCAGTACGTGCCTCATCACCACCACACAAGGTTCCAGGCTAGCAATTCTGGTTCTTGAAAGAGACATAAATGTACAATACATACCTGAAAGTGTCATTCTCTGGCTTGGTGCTACTGGGCTTTATCTAAAGCCATACAAGTGGGGTGGCTTCCCCAGGACCCACCTTGGGGAGGAGAGGTGTTCAGGGACCAAGATCTGGAGCAAAGTTCCCTCTGGTAACCCAGAAACAGGCACTGATGGGACCAGGAATCCCAGGCTGCATCGCCAAGGAGGGCTCCAGCTCACACCCTCCTCCTTCTTGAACATTTTCTGCTACCAGCTTCAGTGTCTTATCCTTCTCTCCTAAAATCTGTTTTGAGGACACAATACCAGAGAGCTGTGGTCAAATGTGGTTAGGAGCTGGATAATGTTCTGGGATCTGGTTGTAAAAGATTTTTAATTTGTTGCCAACATTTAAAAACAAAGAGATTTCACATAAAAATAGAGACTTTGGGCTTCTCTTGGAAATGGGAAAATTCAGCAACTGAAACAGTTTTCTCCATGACAGTGACAGTGGCTGAAGCTGAGGCATGGTTTCACCTCCTAAGATGGAACAAGAACCCTGGGGACCTGTGAGCATTTGAGTTGGCAGCTCTGGCTCTAGTTTCCCCACAACTTTTAAAACGTGGTCACAGACTCTAGACCATGAGTGAGAGCAATCTGTTAGGAAGGTATTTCTTTAGTGTGTGTCTTGGTAGAATTGGTCCATTATGAGTCTCTAGTCTCCTGCTCTCCTTGTTTGCTCACTTTTAAAACAAAACTTTGCTATTTGCTGGAGGAGCATTTTATAAAACTTTTTTCTCTTCAGTTCATTAAAGCTATTTGTTAAAAGGTAGCAGATACCTTCCCTGCACTGCTAATTTCTCTCTTTTCCCTAGAAGCTTTAGCAATCTCGGTTTCCTCACCCTGCAAATCTGAACAGTAATGCTTATCCACCAATGGGAAGGTCATCGAGAGAACTCACTCATACATACATTCATGCTTCCATTTCCAGTTAGTAAGTCACCTCCCACTTTGTGCTAAGCACCAGGCCAGGGGCTGGGTTAGACAAGACATCTGTATGCAGGTACTGAGCATTTAGAACCATTCCTGTCTGGCATAGAGATGCTGCAATCATCATCCTTGGAGTCCAGACCCTGGGCCTCAATT